ATCAAAATTCGACATGCCCCTTCCTTGTACACATTCAAAAACCTCCTATTCCAATTCCTGTTCCAAAAACAGTCAGATACCAGCTAACGATTAATATTATATATGTATTGTGTAGCAATCATATAATCATAACACTTGGTAAGAGATAGTACATGCATTTCCTACTATCGACGTAGGAATTTCAACACACACATTTTTTTTGTATTTTTTTTTTTATTCAATTATAAGTAACTGTTTATTTTCATATATATATTCAAGTAAAGTTTTTTTTTTTTATGAAATGAACTCATTGTATCTCTTTTTCGTTCTTCATTTCTCAAAGTGTATGTTTATGTTGTTCAACCCTTAAATATAATTTTGTTCATAGTTCAAATGATTCGTTCATAGTTTTAATTGTTTTATTCATAATTTTAAATGCTCTGTACATAGTAGTATCTGTATTGTATATAGCTTGTGCACCTAAGGTTTTCTTTACTTTTTATTTTATTTTATCAATTTCATTTATTGTTTCAACGTTCAGGCCAGTAATATTCTATTATTTTGTACATTATTGTTATTCTGAAGGGACTTAGTCCCAGAATAAAGTTTTTTTTTTCTATCTATCTATCTATCTATCTATAAATAGAAAAATATAATATAAAATTTATGGCCGTATGGATTGATAGGTATGCTGTGTACAAAGCAACCCTATGTAGTAGGGCAGCATTACTTTTAATAAAGTATTTCTCTCTATGTAATAATAAAACTTAATTAAAAAATACTTTGCTAAATATCTTGATTTTTTTTTATTTAACGTTTGCAATTTAACACTGCGTTTTGTATATTTACTGATTCTTAGAGATAATTAAAAATTGTATATACTTCCCAGGAAATGAGTCATATTAATACCTGTTTTATAAACTAAAATAATACATACCTAATCTGAACTATATATAATGAATAGCTACCGGGTTGTTTAGTAAAACTCATATATCACTAATTAAAAAATTTAATTTTTATTTCCTTTATTTTGTGCGGATGTTGGACTATATCATAAATAAATAGGAAATTATAATATTGAATGAATTATTTTCTTTGCACAAAGAAAGATAGAAAGGATGACGCTATAAGTTCTTCTATAAACCAGAACTGATGGTTTGGATTTGGTCTCAAAATGAGGAAAAACGCGAAATTGAATCCGAAAATTGGAAAAATACATTAGGCGAACGAGAAAGGAAGTGCCAAAACCTCGGAATAGATAAAAAGGACCAGTATCCATTATATAGCTAAATGAATGTATAGCAGACAGATGAACAGAATATTTCAAGATTCTGCTAAAAGGGGGTCAATTGCAGTTTGGATGATATTAAGTGGACGATGTAGGTTTATTATGGTGAAAACCACTTTATTTTCGATTGCTGAAGGTGCATTTTGGGACTATCTTCACTTTGAAGCAGGATGTAGAGACGTACATCGAGAATGTTGTAGCTCATAGCTCTCCTTCTGTTTTGAGCATTTGCAAAAGATTTTTAAGGAATCTTATATAAGTTATAGCTCTTTATTGTTCAGAAATCAGAGCTATGAGCTACAACGTTCTCGATGTACCTCTCTACATCCTGCTTCAAAGTGAAAATAATCCCGATGTGCACCTTCAGCAATCTAAAATAAAGTGGTTTTCACCATAATAAACCTACATCGTCCACTTAATATCATCCAAACTGCAATTGACCCCCTTTTACCGGCATCTTGAAATATTCTATTCATCTGTCTACTATACATTCATTTAGCTATATAATGGATACTGGTCCTTTTTATCTATTCCGAGGTTTTGGCACTTCCTTTCTCGTTCGCCTAATGTATTTTTCCAATTTTCGGGTTCAATTTCGCGTTTATTAGCGCGTGTTTCCTCCTCTTGCCTTCACTACTTCTTGAAGACGCCTCGGCATACTTTCCACCAGTCGGGAAATGTCCCTTTGCTGAAGGATAGCCCATTCCTTCCGAAGAGCCCTTTCAAGGTCCTCCAGTGTATCAGGAAGTGTTGCACGCGCTCTTATTCGTCTTCAGAGGTTATCCTATAAATGCTCAATGGGGTTCAAATCTGGAGAACGTGCTGGCCAGGCTAAAACCTCAATATTGTTCGGTTGAAGGAACGTCTGCACTATTCAGGTGACATGTGGGCGTGCATTAGAATTGAACGATAGCCGATTTCGTTGAGGATAGGCAACACATGAGGATCCAAAATCTCATCTACATAGCGAATGGTCGTCAAAGACCCTCCACGAACAACAACAATTCTTGCGGCGCTCCATTGAAATCCCAGCCCACACCATTAAGGAACCACATTGGAAAAGTTGGCTCTGGGAAAAATTACAGGCTGCATATCTTTCGTTTCTTCTTCTCCACACCCTTTCACGCCCGTCTGGAGATCGAAGAGCGAATCTTGGCTCATCTGTAAAAAGTACAGCACTCCATTCGTCCATAGTCCAATGGCTGTGTTCTCGAGGAAAAGCCAGCCGTGTTACTCTGTGAGTTTAATCTTCATCTTTTAATCTGTCATTTAATCTTCTCCGAGCGGTACGTTCAGAAATTTGCACACCTCGAACTTCTTCGAGCTGATAGATCGCTGGAACAACGATAAGATGCCGGTTTCGTAAAATTCTCAAAGTAAAAACCGGTCATCCCGTGGTTCTGTTACCCTAGGCCGTCCAGAACCGGACTTTCTATTGTAAGAACCAGTTTCCCGAAAAAGCCTGACGGCGTCTCGCAAAGTTTCATATGGAACTCCGATGGAATTAGCTGCATGTCTAATGGAACGTCCATCATCAATAAGTGCCACACCACGCGTAACATCCTCAGCACTAAGAGGCATTTTTAAACTTAATATTGAAAAAAATAAAAGCAGGAGATATATAAATGTGCTGCAAGAAACGGCACTGAACTAATGATACTGAATAAACATTTTGATTCCATAGAAAGTAAACATTGGAATCTAGAATCATTTCATTGAATTAAGGATTAAGGGTTATTGTCCTCTATATTAACATTCCTAATTGAAAACAAACAAAAAGATTACCTATTTATTCATTAAAAACAATAGACCAATCCAAAGCAGAAATATGTTTAGATGAAAACATGAAAAAATCAAGTGGGTGGAATTTTTTGCTTGTCAGCATATATATATATATATGACATATCTTACTTTCTTTTTTTTCTCCCCTTTCATAACAATACTCTTAAAAATTATAAACAACAAACCGTATTAAACAGCAGACATGGCATAATAAACATTTCCCCAAGACAAGAAAAAATTTACTTATCCTTTTTAAATTCTAAACGCCAGAAACTCAATAAAACATCGCACACATATATAACACAGCAATTCCTCGAATGTAGACAGTAAGATAAGATGATTATGGACCAATTTAAAATTTAATAAACAATTAATACTAGACATCATTTTTGCAATTGAGGTCTTCTTAAACGACCTCCGTATAGAATAAAGGAAGTTAAATTCAAAAATAAATAATAATAAATTTCTAAAAAACTTTGTTTTTTTTACAATTAAATTATTGCATTAATATTTGTTCATTATTAAAACCAATATAATGTACCAAAAACGTTATTATATAGCTATAACTAAGCCATTTATGTGTACTGAATGGTGTGGTAGAGGCCTGTAGGCACCCACGCCAGTACCCCTTTTCTGCCGCATAAGTGCATTTTATACGGAACTGCTTAAAAGTTTTTAAAAAATAATCAGCGTTTTGAAATTAAAAATATATTCTCCAGATGTTTTATTTCAACACGTTTTGCGTTATAAGGCCGTTTAATTACAAACGACGCTTGATTTTTAACTTGAAAATTTGTTTGCTAAAAAAAATTGACTTTACTGGTGATTTTCATAGCCTAAGCCAATTATTTTTTAATATTTCTTCATGTTTTATTATTTTATGACTATTCAGCTTTAATAAAAGACCAACTATGAGGAAATTAAGCCAAATGCTGATTCTCAGTGACCAAAAAACTAACTAAAGTCAAAATAGGCAATCCGCCATGTTTGGACGCCATTTTGAGGCAGTGCGTTCACTATTTTTTGTGGGAACATTGGCTTTTTTTAAATAAATAGTTAGAAGGAACACAACGATATGCAATTTATTGGGATGTGGGGGGGAGAGGTTGCACGTTAAGGGGGTCTGGCCCACAGACTAAGGGGGGCGGATTGGCTGGGCCGGATAACACGGGTGCACATCATCGCGTTGTCCGGTAACCTGATGGAAGATAATTTGCTAAAATAGTTGTGAGTTCGCTTACATTAACTCTGCCAGTAATTATCCGTCCTTACCTCTTGGCTCGGGGAAATGCCGTATTGTAGAGATGGGAAATTAAATTATTTTATTTTGTTTCTTTTCATCTTATTTTTTTTTTTTACGTTAAAAAATAACTTTTTATTGAGAAAAAAACAGCAACAAACATTATCAAAACTTATGGTTATTCAGACTGAAACATTTTTTTAACTGATTGAAACTAAAATTCCTGGTTTAAATAAATACAAATAAAAAATCACGAATCTTATAAATAAGAAGGAAGTTTAAATTGAACAGAAAAAGTTTTGTTTTTTAAATTTTACATGTTTGATTTGGGTCTGTGTATATAAATTGTAAATGAAATGAAAAGAAAACAACCCAACAAATAATGGAACATGACTGGAAGATTAACTAGAACGAACCCGGTGAATAGACCGATTCCAACTATTTCGGTGAATTGGTGAATTGACCGATTCCCACAGAATGGAAGTAGGCTGTGCATAATTTATCATAATGTAAGAGATAAAATTGCACCAGTGAATTTTTTATGCAGGCATAAGTATCAATTCACTGCTGCAAACTTCTGCCGTACCTTCAAGGGAGATGAGGGAGAAAAATAAACAAAAAAAGCTATGATTTATCAATATATTTATAACATTGATATATTTTATTTTTTATATAAAGGCATACTCATCCAAAGGAATGATAAATAATATATTAAGAATATTTGTTACTTACATCTTGGAGCTCCTGAGGTAAATCGTTCATTTTTTTCTGAATAGGCTCTAAAGAAATCACACTCAATCTTTTCCTCGTTGATCCCAACGATATAAAACTGAACCTCTTTGTAGCTGGTTCTAGAGAACTCACAAAATCAAGGTTAGGAAGAAGTAGCTGCAACTGTTTCAATACAGTATTGTTCGCATTAATTATAATGCAGTCTTTAAAAGTCCGTTTTAAATCTGTTATTACTTCTTTCAAGACCTAATAAAAAAAATATGTAAATGTATTTATCTTTTAATTAGATTGAAAATGTAAGATATAATTTAATTATAATTATAAGATACCTGGCCAGTGGAGTAGTCAGTCTGGGCTACGTGCGTTAGGTTGAACACTACAATGGACATTTCTGGCGTATTATAATTCTGTGCTTGGTATATTACCTTCTTCTGGAGGTAGGCACTCGAAGGGAACAATAAACCCTTAATTGGGGTGATGACCCAATACGTCTGTTGGTCCACCTAAAGATTGGCATTAATATCAATACATAAAGAATTTAAAAAGGCTCTTGGAGATGTATATTATTAAAGAATAAAATTAGTTCATCAATAATTTATTTTACCTATTGAAAAGATTATTTGTCATGGAATAACTGAAAAGAAATAAACAAAACGTTATCAATACACAAAACATGCAAAACTCAGTTAGAGGTGGTTTTGAATAAGATAAGTTCTTACAATTTTCAATAGAAAATAACAATGTATTGGTTCAGGTAGCCATAACGAAAAATTGAATTCTAAAAAAAATGTGGGCAATAGAACTTTATCTCTATTAAAAAATAAATCACACAACTGTCCCTTACCACCCTCTTCTTAACAAAATAAGTATTTTCAGACATAGGAGAAGTGAAAGTAAATATTATAGACGCTATATTTATTTATATTTCATTGTGGGTATTTTTATTAGTATAAGTACCCTCATGTATACAAATTTTAATATTTATATCGCTATAATCTAAACGATTAAATATTAAATTATACCAACAATAGCGTTTATGAAAACCGCATTTGTTTATATTTACATAATATTATCGGAGTCCGTATTTTATTAAGCTCATGTTACGTATGGAAGCGTGTTCTCATCTTCGGGCGAGCTCGAGTGCCCTGGTTTTCCTTTGGTTCCTCAATTACAGCTATTCTCCGTTACGATCTCTCATTTCTCCTTTAGTTAATTATCGAATTCTTTCATATTTTATATTTAACTATCTCTTATATTAGCGATTAATGCGAAATGGTCAATTGTTTCAAATAAAAAAATAAAGGTACTTTAGGGGAAGATAATTTCTAAAATTAGCCATTTAAGCCCTGTTAGTGAACATCCATCAGAATAAAAACTACAATTTATTAAGAACTGCTTAATGTTACACTGACATAATGAATTTAATCAAAATCGTTAAAGCCGTTTTCGAGAAAATCGTAAAAATGTGTTTAGTCTATGATATAAAGTGGCATTTCCTGTTAGCCGATTTTAATGAAAAAATTGTTGTAACACCCTAAGTATTTAATAACCTTAAATATGCAATTTCACTTTCGTACGACTTTTAGTTTTTGAGCTAGACTGTTAACACACACATTTCTCACAAATACAATGAAATAGTTTCTAGTTTCACTTACTTATATATATATATATATATATATATATATATATATTTTTTTTTTTTTTTTTTTTTTTGTTCTTCTTCCCTACCTCGCCTTTTAGGCTATACGGGATTTTCCCGGGCCGGGGGGTGAGGGCGGGGAAATTTAAAATCCCCTCCGGCATCGGGACGCGAACTCGTACTTTTTATATCATCTCAAATCTCTGTTATCCGGTTGCCAGGCATCTAGCGGTGCTGTTACACACGCTTTAGCCTATCCGGCCACCCCGCCCCCCCCCCCCCACTTACTTATATATGTAATATATAGTAAGGGTAAGTATTGCGATCGTAAAAATTTTGGAATCTCAGTTTTCAACGGAAATACATGTTTTGAGGTCCCCTGAGTTCAAATAACTAAGTGTCGCAAAATGGTCTGTGTGTGTTAACATGGTAAAATGGTTTTTTAAAAGTTTATGGAATTTCCTAAAAAAACAAAAAAAAAAATCGTTAAAATCGGACAATTAGGAGGAAAGATATGATATCTAGTTATTTTCCCTGAAGAGGTGAAAATTTGGATAAATTTAAAATATATTTTTTCAATTGTTGAGACTAAAAAAACCTTTTTCCTACAGATATTTAATAAAGTGTCTTTCCTAAGAACATCTTTCATAAGAAAGTAGTACCTAAATTTATACTTTTATTCTCAGTTCTATATTACAACACTGCAATCACCACTTCTGGAATCAACTTACTCATTGTCTGCATAGATAACTTTTTCAACTAAAAATATCACTAAAATGGCATCACTCAAAAATGTTGAAATTGGAGTTAGTCATTGTGTGGCTTATAAATCAGATATAGTGAATTGATTTTTATTGCCTGTCTTCCATATATTAAATAGACATTTTGTAATTATAATGGTCTTAATGACTTGTTATCTGTAAGCTTTAAGCTTTAGCTCCCTATAAAATGCAATTAAAATTTTTTTTTATAATAGCCCAGCATTGCCAGAAAATAATTTCTATTCAAAGTAGATCGGTAAGTGAAAGTTGTGTGTTGCGCGCATCAGATTTTTTAACAATGGCCTTGATTAGGTGGATTCTAAATAATTTTACAAACTTAAAAATATTTTAAAAGTTTAGTTATTTAGTTAGTAAATTTCATTTAACTTCCTTGAAAACATGTGATTAACGTTAAATAATATTAGTTTTCAAAAATTATTATTTTAAATTTTTTCACCACTCTCCTTTAATTTCAGCTTTCTATGCTAAATATTGTTTTTTCTAAAATACTCCGCTTTCCAACGATGTATTGTACGTATACCTTCTGACTAGTATTTCCGGAGATTCATTTTCGACCTATTACATTACAGCAACCTATGCAGACGACACTGCTATCATTACCAGGCACGACAATCTACAGAGGCATCTACAGATGTCTACAGAGGCATCACTTAACCTTCAACATCACTTACAAATAATACTCGATTGGCGTAAACTTTGGAAAACTCAAATAAATGGAGTACAATACCAAGGCCTTACCTTTGATAGGAGAATGACATGTGGTCCACATTTAAAGAAAAAATGAATCACATTAAATCTAAGACTAAAATTGTTACATTCACTGTTAAGACGACATCCCAAATTAAAAGCAATACCGAAACTAAGTATTTACAAATATATATTAAAATCTCTTTGGTCTTACGGACTACAAATATACGGAAATGCAAAACCCAACACACATAAAAAAACTTCAAACTTTTCAGTCTAAGATACTACGATTAATCACTCAATCACCATGCTACGTGAACAACCACATTTTACACACCGACTTAACGTTCCAGCAGTCAATGAACACATACGAACGTACTACAAACGATTTCATAATATGTTAAATGTGCACTCCAAACAGCTGGTAAAAGAAATGTCCACAACCAGTATGCCCGAGAACTCCAGAAGAAGACTTAAAATTGTCTGGATGGGAGATCTACTTAAATAATGTTTTAGTAAATAAAAGTCATGGAAGGGGTACCGCTGAGTATTGCTATTCCTCATGCCTATCAAACCTTTTTATTTTTTTGATACTATTTATTTATTTTTCTCATGACTATGCCAGCACATCTATTGATTGTCGATAGTTGTGCTGGCATGCTGTGCTGTTGACAGGTGCGGATAAATAAATGAAAGTGTAAAAAAAAAAAAGAAGTGTTACCAATTCATTGTCATAACATATGACCACACTATATCATTTATAATCATCATGCATGGCTCTACAACTCTTGCAGAGTCGAGGCCTCCCGCAATTTCAACCGCCAGTCCTCTCCAAGTAATGCCGCTGCCTTCCAGTTGTGGACACCAAGGATACTTTGGGTGTCGGCTTTCACTCCATCAGCCCATCTGAGGCTCGGTCTGCCTATCCGCGTTGTGGCGAAGATCCGCTCATCCTTCAACTTCCTTAGCACATGTTGTTCAGACATACGGATAATGTGTCCTGTCCATCTCAACCTGCCAATTTTCATTAACCTCACAAATATCGGCCTTTTTATATAGCTGCATCAGCTCATCGTTGGATCGCATATGTCGTTCCTGATTAATATTTATTATTGGGCCGAATATTCTTCTTAGCACACGACGTTCAAACCGCAGAAGAGCTGTTCCTTGGGCTCTTGACATTGTCCAGCACTCAGACCCCCCATATGTTAGTATTGGTCTGATCAGGGTTTTGTACAAGAGCAGCTTGGTTTTTCGAGAGATCACTCTACTTTTGAGATGTCCCTGGAGACTAAAATAAGCTCTATTTGTGGCCATGATACGCCTCTGTATTTCAGAATTCATGTCGTTATTTACATAATTTATAATCGAGATACTTAAACTGTAATAATTTTTTTTTTTCACTATTTTGAGTATCATAAATTATTTCAAAACATTCACGAGATATAACTAAGTAATTGCAGCCATCAAAGTTAAAATCCATTATGCTATCCACTCATAAAAGTTGCGTACATTTTAGCGGATTGATAAACACAGGCAGTAATTGGCCATAATTTTGAGCTGAAATTCTTTCAAAACACTCACGGAATCTCACCGATTAATTTAAGACATCAAACTTAATTATCGTTCCAGGCGTACACTAGAAAATCGATTAAACACATTCTATTCAATCGCGAACCACGCGGACCACTCCGAATAATTTAAGATATCAAATTAAAAAATCGACCCTTTTCTGAGCAGTTCGCTCAGAACATCGTTACATATCTTTGAGTGTACACCCCGAGCACATGACTCTCGTTACGCTTATCCAAACACTCACGGGATCTCATTGAATAATATAATATATCTAACTTAAATATACATCCAACCGTTCGCTTAGAAAATCGTTTAAGTAGATATTGCATCTTTTGGCAAGCCGATTAAGCACATTTTATTTCATGAAGGTTCAGTATTTTTAGCTCAAATTGTTCCAAAACAATTAATGGATCTCATCGAATAATTAGAGACACCAAACTTTAAAATCAGATGAGCTATTCGCTCGCGTATGAAATGCTAACGAATTCTAAATTAATTTTTACCTTCATTACCGTACAATTATATTTTCCTATTTAATTAAATTAACGATTAATAAATAAACCAATTAATTTTACTTACAATTGCGTACAATGATTATATTTATCCGATATTTTTTTTTAACTTATCGTTTTTAATTCCTTATTAACATATTTTTATTTGGCGATTTTATTATTCCATAAATCGGCATAATCATGCCAATTGTCAATAAACGACATAGTTTTTTCGTTCGTCCTGTAGCGTGCGGCAAGGAGACATATTTTTTGTCTTCTATGGAAGACTACTTTTATTCTAAAGATATGTTACACTTTTCGTATAATGA